AACATATTCATTTACTTTATCGATTTGTGTTTTTTCGTTATTAGAGCAGAGTTCGATATGGTAAAGACAAACAATACGAAAAAATAGCATATTTCTCTATTATATTATTGAACCAAAGGAATCCGTTCAGCCAGAAAAAAACCATCGAGCTACAAACATACCTTTGCCTACAATTACCTATCAGTTGGAACAGCTCAGGTACCAAAGTTCTTTAAAGTATCGAGCGGATAAATTATGGACAACCGTACGATTGATACTACATACAGTGGAGTACGAGATCAGTTCATTACGTGAAATTAAAAAGTCGCAATCGACGAATTGGCTGAAAAATCACAAAGTCAATGTGTCTTAATTGTTTCATAATATGTTAATCATTTTCGGTCCCATTCGAATTCGTGCTGATTGACGACAGTCTAAAATATGAGAAATATTCGTCGTCACCTCTATTTCTCATATTTTAGATTGGTCACTCAACAACCGCGATATTAATCCCATTGAAACTGTTTGTAATGGTGAAACATAGAGTCGGGAAAAGAAAGTTAAAAAAAAGACGAGTAAACTGAAGAATTTTTACAAACTAAAAATGAACTCATATGAAAAATAAGTTGTAATTAGTTTGGCAAATCGCAAAAAACAAAGATGCAATTAAGTTTTTGAACTAAAAGAAGCGAGAACACAATACTGAACGGGATGTTGTTAGACTATGAACGATTATGTATGAAATAACGAAACATTTTTTTCAAGACGATTAACTCAGGCGCTAATATAAGCCAAATGTTTGATCCAAGTTTTTTTGCAAACCATTGTATATATATACTACATACAAGACGGTGGAAGAATCACACTCACCAAAGCATTCAACCACTTCACATAGTAACACTTACGGTGAAAATATTGCGAATGCTGCCTATATCTCAAGGTTTTGCTTATGTGAACATACATCAGACACACAGCGATATCTCATAAATATGGTTTACAGGACCATGTACTCACAGCTGTCACGAGCCGAATGCTCCTAATGAGAACCTCAATCGACATGATTCTCGAGGGTCAAATTCAAATATCACTTCACACTTGAATTCACCAACACACGTCACACCCATATGATCGTGTTCGGGGCATCGGTTAGTGTGGTTGTGTATATAGCTATGTGCTCTTCATACCAGCCCATGGGCACTAATGTTCCAAAGCACTTACCCGTGCGCGATTTTACGAGGCGCATACGACCGAAAATCGATAATTCTCCGAAAAAAACATTTTCACAATGTTAATGAGGGTCAGTGCGTTGTTGGATGAAGCTAAGCTCTTCGCTACAAAGAGATCCTGCCGAGATCCATCTATAGGGTCACTTCATACATATATTCATAAAAAGTTCCAGCTTTATCGGTTGAGTCTTACTTGATATATGACCACTCCAAAAGTTTGTTTCATGAGATAGCTGTTTTTATACTTGTCCTAAAAGATTCAGAAAGTATCGTTGCTTTGATTCCTCATACTTTACTTTGGCTGAAAGTAAAAATGTTGAAAAACTGAGGTGGATACATCAGAATATTTTCTTGTTGAGACAATTAAAAAAGCAAGCAGCTGCATTTTAATCAAATGTTTTTTATTTAAAAAGAAAGAATGATATAAAAGAAAAAGGTTTTATATGCCGTACATATTCACACGCTCCCGGTGGTTGAATGCGTCGTATTTCTTCATATCTTCGTTACGAGATGGCTTCATCACTATATTTCGTTTGATACTATTAATTGGCATGAAATTTTTATTATAATAATTTGATTATTGAGTCAAGGAATGAATTCGTAGATGTGATTAGCCGTACGAATGAATTCTTTTGGTCTTTTTCTGACATGATGTCTAAAGTCTTTACTGCTTTGTTCAAGGAATCGGTCAAACGATCATTTCCCTGCAGCGGTACTCTGGAACTCATCACGCCTATTCTGTACGTCAACATGACGAAATGCAAATTCGAGCACAACTATGTTTACATGGTGAGCTTCGAACATAAGCTTTGCTTAGACAATTTTTATCGTGAAATTTAAACGAATCGATTTATGCTAATTGGGAGCTCAATTGGATTGACGTCAAAAATCTCAGCTAGCGACAGTTCATATAACTTACATTGACACTCAGACATTGGTGGCAATACAGTTGCTCCACTCCTCCGAGCTATGTTGTTTGAGATTATATCGAATCGGAAAGAGTTCAAATACAGCCCAGCTGCTTCGAGCAATAAAATAGTCTCACCCATATCCACATACCCATACCCACACCCACATCCTGATTATTAATATAGTAGACATGTTTGACTTGTGATTCAGAACGTATTCTATAGCTGAATTGTACTTGCAAGCAAAAGAGGATAAGCAAAAAACACAGAAGCCATATTAGTTCCAATGAGTTAGCATGATCATGTTCTTGAGGTTCCTGTTTTCATTCTTTGCCTGATTAAAGAAAAGCTATACTATTGAAAAAACACTAGAAGGGTCTCATGTTTTATTCATCGTTATTTAGCATATTCATCGTTATTAAGTTTTACTCATCGTTATTCAGTTTTATTCATCGTTATTTAGTTTTGTTCTTGTTTGTTTTCAATGAGTAGAAGAAAAAGAAAAAAATATTAAAGCACTCTAGATCAAAATAGAAGAAGCGAACCATATTAGCACACAAATTCACTGTAAGTTTATCAACATGTAGCATGAAAAAATCACATATACATATATAGCAGAAGCAAACTAAGTCATATACACTCTCGCTCAGATACAAAGTCAGCTATGCCATTTGTATGTTTCTGTTTTTACTTTAGTCGAAGAGTTAATTGTACTTGTTGTTTTGTGGAGCTGACAATATGTTCGAAGAAAATAGTGAGTATAAGTTTTAAGTCGAAGTTTTCTGGTCTCTTATGTCCATCCTCATCTTCCCCATTGGAGACTTAACAATTGAGGGGTTAAAGGCGCTGAGCAACATTAACAGGAAGGCTCAGAAAGTTCTTGAACATTTCAGAACCTTTCTTGAAATTTGAATAGCTAGAATACGTTTTTTCATGCTCTAAGTAACGCAGTTTCTGACTTTTACGTATATAAAAATTTACGTTCAAGATATTTACCATCATGGATAGTAATGCAGTAATTTTGGCACAATATTTATATGATAAACATAACAAGCGTGAATTGATCAACTTATAGCTTTTGGAAATAATCGATATCAGTGTTTATGAGCTAATCGAAATATATTATAGTGCTTTAAAACTTGCCGACTGTAGGTATAATGAATATTTGCAGCAGCCTTATCTGCCCTCTAATTCAATGCTTATAATAATAAAAATTTGAAATTAAGTATATCTTTTCCTCTTTCCTCACTCAAAATGTTTGTGTTTTTCATTTTTGGTCTTTTGTGACCATTGTATAGTCTCAAGTAGTATCTATCTACTGAGTACATTTTGGGACCCAAACATTGTCCTTAAACATTAAACAAAGTGAGAAAAAATCAAATGTACATAATGCAAACACCGACAACTATAGACTTTTTCAGATGGGTATTTTTTTTTCACTTTAAAAAATATTGCTCTGCTGATTTTCCGAAGCTCATACAAAAACAAGCTGTGTTCAAAACAAATATGCGTCTTTACGGTACCTTAGATATTATGGACTTTTTATTCGAAGGAGAAAAAATTGAAAAAAATCTAAAAAGAATACTACTCTCAACGAGTGTCTAGCATATGCAAAAAAGATTTTCAGCTCGATCGAGCATAGAATCTTGATTAAACTAGGCTCCATGATAACTTTATTTCACTCCTCAAAATCTATTCGCCCTGAAAATTTCAATATTTTCTGATGAGCCGTTCTCCAGAAACCTCTAAAATGGAAAGAGCGCCCTTAAAAAGATCGAAATATGATAATGAAATTTCCTGACAATCGATCATCGTTGAAAAAGAACTATCGTCTTTTAGAGATTTTACACTTTGTGTATTATGTATTAGTACAATAAAACTAAAGAAGATATGTGAGTTTCACATTTCAGTCCCAAATGGACTGCGCTAAGAAGCTTTTCTCTAGCGAAGATGGACTGAGAATACTATAGGATTATACTCAAGTATTTCGAATTTGCAGTATACTGTCAACAAAATCATTTTGTTCAGCAGATATACTTAATAGCGAACAAAAACAAAATGCCTTCCCACTATTTTCACTGTTTCTTCTCCGCAATACACTTGATTATGTTAATTTTTACTTGAAAATTCAGCGTTCTATTCTCGAGAAAAAATCTACGTTTTATTTTATGCAGCAATCTGAGGATAAGCAAAATGACCTGAAACATTGCATACAATAATAAAATGGCGTTAAAAAACAAGGGAGATAACTATCTTGTAGATCTTAAAAAGTTTTTTCTTTTAGGTTTAGTTTTAAAAAGTCTTCAGTTAAATTTCATACCGTTAGCAATATTATATTTTCTTACAATGTTATTCAACAATATTGATTTTTTGCGAAGAATATATGTCTTTCAACAAAACAACTGAGCCTGATTCAAACATTGCCCGTCTAAATTGTATGATTTTGGATTTTACTAATCAGTCATTATGATAGAGTTCTTCCAATTTGAAAAACAAAGGAATTTTCTTTTGTACAGGTGCGTAAAATAAATTACAATATACGTTTTCATTCGACGATTGAGAATTCACTGAAATGACATTCTGTTGTTTGAAAGACGATTCGAAAACTCTATTGATCTTTCCAAAATGGCGCTTGTTTTTTCGACTTTGATTTTCTAAACAGTGTTTCATAGTATACTCTTATACTTTTAGATTGCACAATAAAATAGCTAATCTAATATTTGCAGATAATTAAATACTGAATATTTCAATGAAAACTTCTCTAGATCAAGTCTACTGAAGAAGAGACGAACTGAAAATACTAAGAGTACAAATTATTTATTATCTTTGTTTTCATTTTCCTGACGTTTAGTTTGATCATTTTATTTGTCTTACAAACAAAACAACGATGATGTCGTGGTCGAACTCTCAATGGTTGTTCTTATACTTTATATTAGGACAATTTAATGTACATTATGTAGCATCAGCTTGGCCATCGACAAACTCTTCAAACATTCAACTATTAGGCCTTTTTGAAAATGTATCCAACACATCTGAATCTAGTGAAGTATCTGTTCATAGTCGTGCTATGTTTAAAGCAGCTGTGATGCTTTCTCAACAATATAATATAACAATAGAAGGACAATTGATAGAATGGCAATCAGCCGAAACTGGTGGAAATACAATCAATGCTCTTAGTAAAGCATGTCAAGCATTGTCTATTTCAAATATTGTTGGTATTGTTGGTCCACAGTTATCAAGAGAAGCTCATTTAATAGCTGATTTAGGTAAAACAATAGGTATACCTGTTATATCTTATAGTGTAACTGATCCTGATTTATCTGATCGAAATGCTTATCCAAATTTTTATCGTATAGCTCCTTCAGATAATTTAACTGCATTAGCAATTGTAAAATTATTAATTCAATTTAATTGGACATCATGTATACTTATTTATCAAAATGATGCATTTGGATCTGGAGGTGCCAAAGTAATAGATGAAGCATTTACTACTAATAATTTACTAATTGAAGAATCGATAATATTTGACATTTCTACACTTCGTATTCGAGGTGATCTGAAAACCTATTTAAAAAATAGTGCAACTCGAATTGTTGTTTTATGGGTTCAATCAAAATACATGCCCTCAATTTTACGCTATGCTCTTAAATATGATCTACTGGGTCCACAATTTACATGGATATTGAGTTCAACTGTTTCATTAAATGGTTTTGATAAAAAAGTTTATGAAAAATTAATTGGATTATTTGCCGTTGAGCCTATTACAGGAAATGTTGTTGATGTACCAATTAATACAACATTAATAAATGCAGCATATCAGATTTGGCAAAAATTTGAACCAGAATCATTTCCTGGATCGACAAAAGTGAATTATTATGCATTATTTGCATTTGATGCAACATGGTCATTAATTCAATCATTAGAAAAACTTTGTTCAACAATTAAAACTAATTCTTCTCCTTCATGCTTGTCATTTATTGAATCTTCATTTTGTTTTAATCGTCGTTTTGTTCATGCTGGTTTATTATTAAATACAGTTAGTAGAACAGACTTTCTCGGTGTATCTGGTTCTATAACATTTACTGTTAACGTAACAGATCGAACCAATGCTTTCCATTATTATATAAAAAATCTTCAACGTTCTTCAAATGTTTTAAATTTTGTACCCGTATTAGAATATTCTGATCATAGCAATTGGGAAACATTTAAAGAAAAAAGTGTTATTGTGTGGCCAGGTAATTCATTAGTGCCTCCGACTGGTAGAGCCATGCTTAAAGGTATACCTTTACGAATTGGTGTTATTGAATCAGTTCCATTTACAATAATAACACACGTCATCAATGAATTTGGACAAAATACAACTAAGTTAACTGGTTATATCCCTGAGCTTATTGAATTATTACGAAAAAAAATCGGATTTATTCCAAATATTGATATAGCACCATCAAATCAAACATATATTGGATTAATTCAAGCAGTAGCAAATGGTGATTATGATATTGTGATTGGTGATGTAACAATTACTGCAATGCGAAGAGAATCAGTCGGTTTTTCGAATGCAATATTTGATAATTCTTTACGTATTATAATGCGAAAAACACCTGATGTTAGTATTGATCTATTATCATTCTTAAAACCATTTTCACGTAATCTTTGGCTATTAGTATTAGGTACTTGTATCTATGCCGGCTTATTGCTTTGTCTTATAGAAAGAAAATATAATGAGAAATTACAAAATCGATCAATACTATCTCAAATAACAATGAGTATATGGTATTCTTTTGGTAATATTGTTGGATATGGTGTTGATTTTCATGTTAGTACAGCTGCTGGACGTTTAGTTACTGTTGGTTTATATATGTTAAGTTTAATATTAGTAGCTACATACACTGCAAATTTAGCATCAGATTTAACAATATCAAAATCAAAAGATATTATTTCTGGCATTAAAGATATTAAAAATGGAAAAATTCCATTTAATCGTATTGGTGTTTCTATTGGTACAGCAAGTGAAGATTATTATTTAAGAGAAATATCTAGTGATAATAAGAGTTATTATCCATTAAAAACTCGACAAGAATTATATGATAGTTTACTTACTGAAAATATTGATGTAGCTTTTATGGATACTGGTACTGCTGAATATGTTACGAATAATATTTATTGCAATTTCAAATTAATTGGAGAAGATTTTGAGAAAGGTTCTTTTGGGATAGTTACACCAAAACAATGGTTATATGCTAAAGATTTAGATGTCAATATTTTATTATTAAGAGAATCAGGCCAACTTGATGAGTTAAGAGCACAATGGTTTCAAAAAAAGGAATGTCCTAGTTCATCTGAAACATCAACTGCAATGCATATTGATTCATTGGGTGGATTATTTTTAATTTTTGCAGTCATTACTTTTCTATCATTATTATTATTTATATGGTCGAAACAATTTATTTTTATAAATTATTTACTTATGTTAGTAGATCGAAAAAAATCTTTATTCCAAAAGAAAACTTCTATGGTAAAATACTCAAACGAAACATCAATCTATACACAAAATCCTGCATTATCTTCATCTACTATTGTACAATTCTGATTGTAAAATTTTGTTTTTTTATAATGAAAAGAATTTGAAAAATATCAGGAACATTTTTATGAATCTTATATTGAATTTTTCATTTGTTTATGTTTAATAATATGTGATATCTTGACATTATATTGCCTACTCAATGTTTGTCTTGAAAGACTGATAGGAACAAAAGTCAAACGGTAGATATTCATCAAGAATCACATATGAAACTCTCTCTCTCTCTTCTCTACTTGGAGAATAGCAAAATAATTAGATTTTTCAAGGATAAACATACATAAATAATCTGTCAGAGATTTTATTTCATCAATGGTACAAAGTAGTTCTCATGTGTATTGACATATAAATACATTTGTTAAAGATATTTATAGAAACTTTTTTTTATAAATCTCTTTTTTAATGGAATTCATGATCTTCATTACAAAACAATGC